TTTTTTTAATATCTTTATTTTATTCTTATGTGGTGCTGAGGATCGAACCCAGGACCTTGCACATGCTAGGCAAGTGCTCTACCGGTGAGCCACAACCACAGCCCCACATTTTTTCATATATTTGTTGATTGATTGTATATCATCTTCTGAGAAGCGTCTGTTCAAGACCCTTCTTTTWAAAAGTTTTTTTTTATAAAGCAAATGCCCTTAAGATCATTACATTCTCAAACTAGCATTTTTCAAAATTAGAGATTAAAAAAAAAAAAGGGGGAGAGATTCCATGGTCAAATAAAGTCAGGAAATACCAAGTTAAATTATATAAAATAAGTCTCTTGACTTGTCACAGATTTTAATGTTAATACCCATGARTCTTCAAATAAGGGATTTAAGTATACTATCAAAAGACATTTGATCTTCTTTTTGCAGGGATTATCTTGGAACAAGTATTCTAAATACCCTATGAAAGACTTTGTCTTCCACCATTAATTACCCTAAATATTAGTTACTATGTAACAGCTGGTAGTTTCCTTTCTACTTCAGAACAYACAGATTTTTTTCTAAACTGAAAATTCCAGTACTGCTCAGTCTAGTGAAGTATGATAATGTGAATTTTTGGAATTTTGTGTTAACCACCAGATGGAGCTTTCACCTCTCCTTTTTGGTTTATTGTTCTCTAATACACATGAAGCACTTGAAGTATTTGTCTAACACGGATTCTTTTCCATTTGTTTACATGGGGACAGAACAAGGCACTGGCCAATTATTTCTCAAATATTCACTAGAAAAAAAGTGATGCTCAGATTCTTCTAATTTTGAAATTTCAGCTTCAAAAGTATGTCAAATATATATTACTATATCCTAAYTTCCACCCTGACCCCTGATAAACGTGCCTGAATCTGGCAAGCAGCTAAAGAGCATGCCGACCTCCTCCAATACTCAAAACCCCTTTACCAATCCTGCAGCATGTGCTGCCATCCCTGCAGCTGAACCTAATGGACATACCAATCTCAAGATGCCAGGCTCACTAAAATCCAACACATGACTACTTGCCTCCTTGATGGCATGACAAAAAATTCTCATACCCAGGTTAATTATGACAAGATTAGGGAACTCACCCAAGGACCTGATGAAAACCTTGTCCTCTTTTTGGCTCGATTTACTGAAATTATTACCAAATATACCACCCTTGATCTTGATACTTCTGCTGGTGCTCTCTTTCTCCATATCCAATTAATCGGCAGATCTGCACTTGATAGCTGTAAAAAAAAAAAAAAACTTAGTTAGAAAAGAGTCCCAAGACTCCTCAGCAGCAACTTCTAGATGCTGCTTTCAAGGTCTTTAACAATAGGGAAGATGAGTCCAAAAAGGAGAAAGAAAACCATCTTAAAGCTAAATATCAGCTCTTGGTCTCAGTCATCCATAGTCTAAAAGAGCCCCTGCTGCTTGTGGCCACACCAGATCCTGTTTCTGATATGGGCAGACTGGACACTGGGCAAAAGCCTGTCCTAATCTGAGYTCCCCCCTTCCTCCTGCAATATACCCTATAACAACTATGGGCAATGGGGACACTGGAAGATGGACTGTCCCCAGGGAATGACACTCCTCCGCTTGTGCRGCCTACTTCCCAAGTCTCATGCACTGAGTTACTGGAATGAGGGGACCTGGGCTCCACTGCTCCCAGATTACAGGGATGGTGAACAACCAAGCAGTTTCTTTTGTGGTCAACACTGGGGTATTTCCCTTCTGACTCAATGACATGGACTCACTTTCAAAGCAAAAACCACTATTAAAGGGAATCTCTGGAACTAAAGCTATCCCCCMCCCTGCCTTTTGCACATTTGTATCCCTCTCATTATCTCATTCTTTTATAGTCATGCCAAGTTGCCCTGTRCCCCTATTGGGCTGAGATCTCCTCCACAAATCAAAAGTCTCCATCACCATTCMTCCTTTAAGGTCTACTACCATCTTTATATTACATTCTAACCTAGACCTAGTGTCTGCACCCCTTATGTCTCCTGATTATTCCTTGCTCACTGGGATTAACCCCACCATCTGGCTTAYCTCTCAACCCATCATTGCTAAACATCATTCCCCTGTTCATATCCAACTGAAAGACCCCACATGCTTTATTTTCCAAATTTACCTGCAGCCCTGTCTGGCCTCTGAGGACAGGCTATGTCACATTCCTTAGCAAACCACCTGTTCACTGCAGGAGAAAATGCAGGCCCAAAATATCGTTGATCAGAGGAACCAAATTTCCCTGAAGGAGGAATCTTTTGTGACCAGATAATCCTCATCTGGCAGTGGGGGAAAAGAAAAAAAAAAAAAACTGTCTCATTTAATTAGAGTAAAACTACCCATCATCTGTACTAATTCAGAAATTCAAATCATTTATTTTCTCTAGTGGATGYATCACCCAGAGCACTAAYAGGCTTGCCTCCCACTTCAGATTGAGGAGCAAAAAAGTGAACTATGAAATCATAGTTCATAACATGTAAGAAATTTTAAGGGATAACTGGCTGGCAAACGTCCTCCCTTAAATTAAAATAATTATCAAAAGGTTGATTTGTATACATGTGTGAAGACACAAATAGTATGACTCTACTTTGTGTACAGCCAGAGAAATAAAAAATAGTGCTCCATTTGTGTACTATGAAATGAAATGCATTCTGCTGTCATATATATCAAATTAGAACAAATAAATAAATTTTTAAAAAGGAAAAGGGAAAAAAAAGGTTAATTTGTATCCTCCACGCTGAGTGAGGTTCCAGCCAGAGGTAATGGAAGGAAAGATAGAAATTGCTGATCCCTAGAGGCTCTGGGATTGGGGAGCTGCCCCCTAGCCAAAGAAAAAAATTCCTCAGCATAGGCACCCATATTTCTGATCTCTTTTTATTTATTAAAAGGGGAACGTCACTGAGCGCAGTGGTGCATGCCCGTAATTCCAGTGGCTCTGGAGGATGGGGCAGGAGGATAGAGTTTGAAGCCAGCCTCAGCAATGGCAAGGCACTAAGAAACTCAGTGAGTCTCTATCTCTAAGTAAAATACAAGATAGGGCTGGAGCTGTGACTCAGTGATTGAGTGCCCCTGAGTTCAATCCCTGGTAGCCACCCCCCTCCAAAAAAAGGGGAGCCTCATCCTCAAAAGTTATGGGAAATGATGTTTCATAATTTTCTGCATCCAAACTTGGCCTGATTACCAACTGCTGAAAAAATGGTTAAAATGCCCTAGGCATGATGTTTCTGCTCAAAACAGCAATTTACCTCAGCTCCAGCCAGATCTCACTAAGGCTTGCCATGAAATGTAAATGACAGGAGCTTGCAGGCTCAGCAGGGGACCAATCTGAGATGGAAGGGAAAAAAAAGGAAAAAGTGCTTTCTAAATCCCAACAGCCCCCTTGGGAGATCTAAAACAACTGGCTACAGCACAGGGAGAAAAAAATAATTTCAGGGCTCTCTCTCTCCCTTTCTTTCTTTCTCCTTCTTTCAATACCTGAACTCACACTAGCCGGAGTCAAAAAGTAAACTGTATGGTGCTTTATTAAAATAATTAATGGCTATGTCACTTTTTCCTAGGACTCTTTTTTTTTTAATTCTATATTTTTCAGCTCATGGTTTTAKGGTGAAATTCACATTTTGGTCCTGTGTGCCTAGACTAATATGTTTTTATGATCAGTCCTATTTTTATCCAACTATACAGGCTTTTTTTTTTTACTCTGTTTTGTTCAAAGGCCAATTTACAAAGGTTAGTTAGCTCTCATCTGTAGCATTGCAATGGAGACCTACCTACAAAAAGCTACAAGGCCTTTTTTTTGTTTGTTTTGTGTATGTGTGCACCTGTATATTGTTATGTCTACATGTGTTTGTGTCCATGGTAAAATTGGCATTATAGATAAATGAGTGACATAAATTAAAATTTTAAAAATGGATCCAAATGCATTTAATTCACATGATTTTAAAAGTTCAATTTAAATTGACTAAACAAATGAGAGTAAAGACATTTTTAAATGACTAACTCATACTTTTTCGAGGTGGTCAAACAAGTAATAAAATGTTGCTATCTAAATCCATTGTTTCTAAGATTTTTCTTTAAAAAGGAAGAGATGGTTAATGCTATTCAATACACTTGTTTGATATCTTGGTTTATAAAGTTAAACTAAATTAGGTTTTAATATCTGTGGGTTTAATCTTTGTAAATGTGTTAAGGAGACATCTGGTTAACTTATAAAGTTAAAGTGCTAACTGCTAAATATACAATCAAATATTCTTGACTTATTGAATTCAGGGTAATACACTTAAACATTATGCATGTTTTCATGAATTTGTAAATGGAAAAAGGTTTAAGATTGCTATGTCTATGCCTTAACTAAAACAAGGTTACTAAGAGTCAATATTCTATCAGGTATAATTTATATACAAAGAGTGTATGTAAGAGGTTTCATTTGGGTTTTGATTAAAGTAACATAACAACATAAAAGTATTTCATCTTATTAAATAAAATATTTTGCCTAAATTCAAAAATTTCTTTTTTTTTTGAGATTTTTAATATTTATTTTTTAGTTATCATTGGACACAACATCTTTGTTTGTATGTCGTGCTGAGGATCAAACCCGGGCCGCACGCAAGCCAAGCGCGCTACCGCTTGAGCCACATACATACCCAGCCCCTTCAAAAATTTCATAAGAACTGTGAATTAAGAAAAGTGGTCAAAAACTAGGAAAGAGAAAAAGAAGGTCCTAGGTATGGAAATATATTTTAGTAGAAGGAATAAGAAATGTTTCTGGATAAGAATGTCATTTGTGTGGTAAAGTAGAATGTCTAAGTAAGCTGCAGAAAGTTTGTGAAGGGTAAATTTCAAAAAGCTTGTGACTAAAGTGGTTATATGTAAGTAGCATAATTAATCACAGCTATTCAAGGCTTTTTCCTAAGGTCAAATATTAAAGCAAATGGTTTTAAAGGAATTGGGATTTATATAAACAACAACTGTTATTTTAGAGTATAATACTACATTACAGAATCTAGATTTTCTTAAAAAAACTAAACTTGGTTAATATAAAAACATCAATGTAATTGTGGTACTATTATTGTCTTCTTTGCATTCTAAGTGTGTTCATATCTTCTAGGTATACAAATATTTTAAAGTAGGTGGTTTAAGCATTTTATGGGACTGAGGTTGTGGCTTGGTGGTAGAGTGCTTGCCTAGCACATGTGAGGCACTAGGTTCGATCCTTAACACCACATGAAAATAAATAAAATATTTTCTTTAAAAAAACAGCATTGTGTCAAGCTAGTGTTCTCCAAAATATAAGTTGTCAGTAATGGTAATTTTAGACTTTTAAAATAACAAATTTAATTGRGGAGATTTATTTATATCATTTAATGTTCCATAACTTGACCTGAATTTTATGCTACTTTTACATTGGGGTAGAAATGTAAATGTATTTCTAAAAGATAATGAGAGCCTGATCTGTTAAAAGGTTAATATGTGAAACATAAAAACATTTTGCCACTTTCTCACAGAAAGAAGTCCAAAGCTTTCTTAGCTTTCCTTTGATTCATGTTTCAGATGTAATGTCATATTATTAGCTAACATTCATATAGATTCAGGAAGCAATATATGTAAACTTTATAAAATGACATTTAAGAAAGAGGCAAAGACTAGCTTCAGAAATATAATATTTTACCTAGGATTCATCAAGAAYCCCACCTTGCCTGAGTTAAGATGCCTTTCACCTTACTCATGTTAAGATATTTTCAAAGTAGGCTAGGCTTAAGCTCATCTAAAGTCATGTTCAAAGGATAAATTTTTGTTACAAAGATTTAAAATTATAAAAAGTTATATTTCTTGATTCAAAGCTATTACACAAACCCAAAATGTTTTCAACTCTTGTAAATTTCATTTTGTGTTTTCTTTGTCCACTTTAAGTGTCCTCTGTTACGGTCTTACAGAAGTACAACTTTCAATATAACAACCTAAATTAATTTAAATAATGGGCCATCATCTATAGACAGACAGGATATAAGGCTAACTTCCATTACTAATATAGACCCCAATTAAATAAAAGGGATAAGTGACTGTAAAGATAAAGACACTAAAGTTAAGGCCCAGGGCTGGGGATGTGGCTCAAGCGGTAGCGCGCTCGCCTGGCATGCGTGCGGCCCGGGTTCGATCCTCAGCACCACATACCAACAAAGATGTTGTGTCCGCCAAAAACTGAAAAATAAATGTTAAAATTCTCTCTCTCTCTCTCTCTCTC